AATATTATTGGATTCTTATATAGCGCACGTATCGACCTTGCAAGGTCCTCAAGGCGCTCCAACATTACCCGGCTATGCTAGGCTGCCGATTTCGACGCTCACAGCATTTTAAGGAATTCCTTCCTACCGGTACCCATTTAACACCTGGGTGGAGAGTGGCAAATGTAGATCAATGTCTTGCCAAAGGATAACAATAATTGTATACATTTTGCATAAAGTATTGTTATGATAATATTTAGAAACTTATCCTTTCTCATTCTATATGCATTGTACAGGAGTGGAAACTTGTGTAATCCACTCCCAAAGGAGTAATTCAAGCTATTACGTTGGAGTGGATTCAGCTCTAAAGAGGAATGTATTCCTAATAATCCTAAGAGTGGATTTGAATACCTCTGCATTAACAAAAGAGTACGCATTTTTCTGCAATAGCAAAAATGTATAAAGTTTTGATAAATTAATTCTCCTGCCACACATGTTGGCTATCACACTGAATTTCAGAACACTACCAATTCAAAAAAGGAATTGATATTGTAGAAACCTTTAAGTTTGGCTCGCAGTGACAACAAACGCCGTTTACCGCCTAAAGATAGCTCAAAATATGAACAAATATATATAAATGAAAAATATATATATAAAAAAAACCCTCACAAACAAGAATAAACATTAAGTCAAGGCACGGTGGATAGAGCCCCAGTGGTCTAAGCGGTTAACCTCTGTGAAGTAAGTCAACATATTTAAATGGTTTAAAGTCAATTTATCGTTTAAAAAGCGGCTTCAGTTTAGACTTTGCTTCTTTAAATTGGTTTATCATAGCCCTGTTACAGTAGTAAGCTTGCTTTTAAAGTAACCGCTCAATATCAAACAGAGCCGATACTATACTTAAGCTATGTTTTATATTAAAAAGCAACACAACATAGTGGCATTTAAACACAAGGTGAATCACAAAGGCGGCAGCCTAACAATAGCTATGGTTTTATGAAGTTCCTTTAGACTATCTTGGTTGAAGTGTGCTACAAAACAACTGAATGGCTTATAAGCCTATACAATGCTTTGAGCAAGCTACACATTAACTACGTGCGAAACATGCACATTGATATTCGGTAACAAGCATCGTACATGTCATCTATTCAGACCTAGAAGGGCTTTATCTATGTGTATAAGTATATGAGTTATGCCCTTCTCTTCTGGCTTCAAAAAGCCGATGTATTCATCATTGTGTGGAACTATGTTGGACCGGGATGTTGGACAGGCTAGGCAAACAAGGTTATGAGTTATTAGTTTAGATTCGGTTGTTTCTTCCAAGGATTAATGTCTTTGGATAATTGATTGGGTCTTAAATACTTTAATTACAGAATGAAAGCAACCACATGTTTTGTTAAAGTGAACTATTCATTACAAGTTGCCGACCGCTATGTCTACTGTTTAAACTTTATACAAGATCAAAGATGAACACTTGTTTTTTGTGTGTAAGACTTCTTTTCATATCTTGTTAACTTGCTCGGCTTCATATAGTTTACATATTGCTCTCTGTAAAATCTTATTTTACTTTTATCAACATTTTTCATCAAGCTACTTTAAAACCGGAATCTGAACTTAGAGCAATAGAACGTGATAGTCATTAAAATTAAATTCAGGGGATGTGGATATTTTCCTCTTTGTTTGTGTTTATTTAATTTACAGTAACAAAAATGAGTAAACCAATACCAAAGAAAACAAGAACACTAAGTACAATAGTGAATACAATGACAAAATAAAAGAGACCAGCAACTAATGCCTGTGTATTACCGAAATAAATCGAGTTTCTGCAGAAGGCTCTCCTCATTAGCTGATGGTCTATACATAAATATGCATAAATTAATTACAATTATTCAATATCAAGAAGACACAAAAGACAAATGACAAGATCATAAATATAAAATAAGTATGTATTGTATATAAAACAATATATATATATATATATATATATATTATATGTATATGCCTTACAATGGGCAAAAAATGTGCCCTTAAATAGATACCTATTTCTGGCAAATCGAGTAAAAACATCGACTAAAAATCTACGAAGTTGTACCGTAATTCAGCGAAATTTACCGGATGTTAAGTTAGTCGTAGGTTCCTCTTTTTTCGTGAGCTTTCTTGCTCTTTAAAACAAAATGAAATACAATTTTTTTTTTTTTTTATAAATCTGCGAACATTTCATTGCGTACAAAAACATGTTAAAGTGAAGTAACCCTACTGGGGATCCCTGTCTGATTATATGCAAATGAATTGCAACTATTCCCTCTCATCTACAACTGAAAACAGTATAAATCACGTGTAATGATGTAATTTTATCCTAGATTGTCTTCCAAAACTTTTATACAGATAGTTAAATTACAATGATCACAAAACCAGTACATACAATCTACTAATGCATTTTTGCATGAACCAAAAACCAAAAGCGAATGAAAAGACTTTTAAGAAAAGGTTTGGAAAGGAGAAAAAATATTTGTGAACTCTTTCATTCATTTTAATATGTAAATGAGGAAAACTATCAAAGAAAATAAATGCCCTTGAAAGAATAGCTCTTCTAATGTCCTGGCATTCGAAATGTGACAAGAAATAGCTGAAGTGTTGATAACTTTCTACTCACAATGCTCGTTACTTTGAGCTAAACCTCGATTTCTCATCATTTTGATGATTCCAAAGCCTCAACCTTTTCCAATCACTTCGAAAGAATTTTGTTCACAATTCATAAATCTATCTTTAACGGTTCCTAATATAATACCTTTGGTAATATATTGGATTGATGTTCGTAGTAAAGTAGGCGAACAGTATACGTGTTCAAATAAAAGATTATGGGGTTAATTCCTACTAATTGCTGTTTATGAGGAGATTTTATGGTTAAAATTGGAATTTGACCCCATACTATACACGCGGCAAAGCTTACACATGTGCAATTTCGAAATAGAGTATAGCTAGGCCTATCGAGTCGCAATAAACTATACCAAATAAGTTGCATATACTTATGAGCTTATTATGGGCGTATTATGATATAAATACTGTGCAATATGATTCCGAAATAATGATTCCAACTTTAGTTGACTTTAGTTGGGGTTGTTCCATTTGAACATAATAATTCTTTTTTTAATGCTTGCGAGTTGGGTGTATACAGTTTTTTTTTGTCAATACTTTTATAGATGAAATGCATTCCAGAATCGTTCTATCTGTATTACAATGCAAAGAATGATTTCAGAATGACTCTGTCACATATACAGAGCTACATGTAGCCTATAGAAATAGAAAGCATGAAGGAGAGGGAGAGAGAGAGAGGGAGAGAGAGAGAGGGAGAGACAGAGACAGAAAGAGAAAGAGTAACCAAAATACTTACAGACAGACATGACTTTTGAATAAAATGTTATAACATGAAAGAAGGCTTGAGTCTGGGGACTGAATGAAGAGGAAAATACCCCAAAGTTGTAAACAAAATGAATTAAACAAAATAGTTTTAAAATCTGTTGCAAATAGAATTCGATATAATAATGTAACGATTGTGCATGCAGGGTTAAATCAGTCAAAATAGTCAGACATATCTTCCTTCTACATAGTATTCACGAGGCATCACTAGAAGAAGAAAAAAAGAGGAGGAAATTCGCGCCAAATGATAGAGTCCGATGAAATATATAACGTGGCTGGGAGATAATACAAAGAATGGAATAAACAGGGTTATCTTATCGCCAGTGCTTAAACATGGGTGGATCCGAAAAACAAAATAACATTTAAATATTAACAGAATCTAAAGATAGCGCGGCGTCTCCCTTTTTTTTTTCTTCCTCGTGCCACGCTAGGTGTACCTGGAGTGTAAAGTGAAAAACCTGGAGGTGATTCTAAAAAAAATTGCACAAACTTTTCAAGCTTTGAAATTAAAAGGTAATTAGGAAAGGCCAAGGAAAAGCCAACGTACTTTCTTTTTTGAATGATTATTCCTTAACGATTCTATGTTCATTATTTTGTTTGTGAAGGTCAAAAGCCGGATACAATTTGGCTTTTGTGAGATGTTGGTGCGTAATTGGACGAAACCGAGAGAGGGAAGAGAAGAAAAATGATGTTTGTCACTTACAGCCGTCTACAGGCACAACGGAATTAAAACGACATTATAACTACATAACTGAAATTAACAGGGAATTAACATTCTAATTTAATATCAAATTTACAAAAAACATTCTATTATATAGTATCAAGATGGGGGATGTTAAAGAAGTACAGAGATTGTTTAAGAGGAAGTAAATATAAATAACAGTTAACAAGGTGAATATGTATAGCACTGCTTGAAGTTTCTTTTTTATTAAGCTTTTGACAAAAACAAACGTTTTCTCTCCCCCCCCCCCATCATATCCCAATTTAGAATGCAGTGTTAATTTTGTAGACAATCAACTGATCTACCAACGGAACTGCATTAGGAAAATGAAAAATCGTTATTAATTTATATAGTTCCCATCAACGAAGTCGTACATTAATTTATAAATGCATCCCTGGAACATCATCACCACCATGACAATCAACAACACTGTACCACAACAACTATATCCTCCCCTTTACACCACTGACCCCACCCCTTAGCCGTTTTTCTTTAATAAAAAATATATAATTAGTCATACTCATTGGACTGTACTGAAATAATCCCTACGTCACATACAAAAATCATTAACTAGAAACATTAGGAACATTTCCATCGTGTATTAAAGAGAAACAAATTCCCTTAAGAAACAACATGTTTTAAGATGTCGGCGTCAAATATTAGACCACCACCTCTTAACTAGTTGTCGAGTAACTTATATCATGTTTGCGTTGAAGCAATGAACAACGTGGCGGCGAGGGATCAAAGTACGCTAACGAGGATTTGTTTCTTTGCTCACATCGGCTCGTGATGCGCTTTGCAATGGGTGTTTGTGACGCTCTGGTAGGCAGAGGGGTGTGGTGGAGGGGTATTTATGAACCAGCCACCACCGTCAAGGAGTCATTGGTAGAAGGCGCATCACCGAGTGCGGACGTGCATAGAGAGCCTGCTGATCGCGGCGCCTCATTTGGGATTGGAGTTCTGATGCTGGTGTTGGTGGTGGTGGCTTCGGCAGTACTTGGTAGTGGTGGTAATACGAGATGCAAACTACTCATCCCTGCGTCTTGCGATTCGAATTTTGATAGGGTTTCCCAAATCTCTTCAATCGTCTCTCGGATCTGAGAACACGAACATCGCACTCCAGTGACCATTGTTACAGCACATCTCCTGCAAGTTTCGAATGTAAGTTTTTGTTTTCCTTTTAACTAATTCATATATTTAATTGGCATGACACCAAAAGTCTTATAATAATTTCATTTAACACTTCGTTCATTCATTCATATTCATGGATGTTTGACCAAAACGGGAATTAAATCGAGATCGAAAAAGTACTACTTAATATCTACTCCGGTTATGCATAGTCCAAGCCTGCATGACTTCAAAAAAAAATATGAGTTAACTTCAATACGACTCCACATTTTACTTTTCATTTGAGATCAATTACATGCATCGACATTACGATAGCCTATGCTTAAGGAAATTGGACTGCTAAAGTTATACTTGTTTACGCCTTTTCTTATAAATGAATGTAGATAATTAACGTAGCCTATGTAGAGAAGTATTTTTTCTACAGTGCTTGATATATTCATCTATTCATCTATTGGTATTAGTGAGTATAATATACAAATGCATTCTCAATTGCGATTCAATAAGATGTTCTAATTTTTGCTTCTAAAACGTATTGATAGGCATGATAGGGATGTAATATAGTAGATCTTTGGTGTGCTATAATGTAATCTTCTTTCTATGCGGTTATAATACTCTGCACTTGTGATACAGACTTTAGATCCTGTATCTTAAACTATAATCAATAACCATATTTTGTGACACATTTATGTTTCGGCGACGCTTATGAGGGCCATTCATCTACTCGTAAAGCGATTCTCAGTTTCGAAACAAGCTTTGATACAAACAACTCCAAATCGTTCATCATAATTATCCAACACTTTCTTCTCGTGTGTTAGTGTCTTTGTAAGAATCTTTTTTCTTTCTTTCTTGGCTTAGTTTTAATGTCCATCACCTTTCAGAATGCACCATTAATGCTCTCATAGAATTTCAACCTTCTTCTCCTCCACCTCATCGTCTCCCTTTGATCTTCTTCTTTTACTCATTTCCCTTTTTTTCAATTTTCTTGTCGTCCATCCCTTGCTTCTATCCTTCTATTCCTTATCTACTCTTCTTTCTCCCTCTTCTTCGTCTCCTTCTCCTCCACCACCTTATTCTTATTTCGTTTCCCCTTCTTCTCCTTCTTCTTTTCCTTCCTCTTGTATGCGTCTTTCAATTTCCTTTCTTCTCTATCACAATTATCCTCCACAGCTTCCTGTTTGTTCATTTGTTCTCCATTTCTTCCTCCATTGAGTATCCTCCCATTTCAGTTCTTCTGTCAATCCCGACAAAAGCTCTAATCCATGCCACGTGGGCATCATTCTATTTTCCCCTTCTCATCCACTACTTCTTATCTCTCTTACATAGCGTGGTCTATCGAATATTAACTCATTGGGAATATTGAAACGAACAGATAAATTGGCGCGAAGTTGAAGAGATAAGAAAATTTACAATGCCTTGATTAGATTATTCTGTGCGAAGTCCATCGATTGTGTTTGGCCCTTTAAGGTGGTTGTGTATGCTTAAGTGATATGGAATCAGTCAAGTGTCGATTAAAGTTAGAAGAATTCCTAAAGAGCACGAGACTTTTTTTCTGTCTTCATATGATTTAAACGAGCCTCTCAATCGTTGAGATAACGTGATAAGAAACACGCAAATAATGTTGCGACTGCTGAGCACAATGACACGCCAAAATCTTAATTCTTGAGAACATGTATGCTACGATTTACCAAGTGGATGAACAAAGACACTTTTTAAATTCTAATTTAAATTTCCAACAGACTCATGTCATTTAATTATTATGAATTAAGTTATCTATTTTCATATGCAAGGTATTTGATGTAAAACTTATAATAATCTGGCTTTTTTTTTTTAGATGGTGGTAATTTCATTAAAATATTTTACTAATTTCCACACAGAAATGCATATGAACTGCATATCTTTTAAAACTATTTTTCTTTTCTAGGAAAAAAGAGAATAGCGTATAGGATTTGGGTCTGTAGCAATTTAAGAGAAAAGAACAATGATTCACACAACATGTTTCCTTTCGCATATTAATCTTACTTTAATATTCCTTGTTCAAGATTGTGTCATCAACTATGACTACCTAACTATAGCGCATCTTGTAAACGGCGTTACATAATAGCCCATCAATAAACTCTATTTGCTCTTGGTTCATTGTCCAACTTGTATTGCACGGTTTTTACAATGAGATTTAAACGCGTTACAAACTAGGGGTCTACACTCGACAAATGGCACGATCATAAAACAAAATTGTATTGACTTAAACACCAGAGGAAAAAAAGGTTACAGTTACTCATCTTAATAAGACTGAAGTGGGTACCTCAAGCTTTAATGACCCTAGGTAAATGTTTGGCGGAATTTTTTATAGCGTTCAGAGTTCGGGACCTTGTGCCCTCCGTCACTAATAATCTTGTATGCATTGACCTGGTGATTCATTTGATTTGGAGGGGTTCAAGAACCACCCCTTCTCTATTTTGGCAAAACCATAATAACCTCTTTCTGCCAGTCTGTCTCGGAGATGTTAAAACAAAATATACAATGGATTGGAACGCGATTGAAGTGATATCAAAACATCCAAACATCCGACCAAACAATTAGTCATTTGGCGATCGCCATCAAACATGACCAATTTGTTTTTCTATTGTTAAGTTTTGCCGCGTGCAGCGAATCTTAGGTCAACGCGTAGGTGTTCCAGCAAAAGTCCGGCTTAGTCATGTTAGTTTTTCGATTATAATCTCATCATTATTTTGTAAAGAACTTTAGTTAAAAATCAATGCTAAATTGAAGAAAAGAAGTCAAATTGTCGAAAATTTACTCGACCATTGGTATCTTTAAAATATGTTTGCCTATATCCTCGTTGTTTCATTGTTTATTCTTTTTTTCTTCAGTTTTTTCTTTCAGTTAATCAAGATAATTAACATTATTATTGCTTATCTATTCCTTTGCCTTATGCTTGTTCTCTTTTCCCCTTTCTACTTTTCTCACTCACTCTTCTTATTCTTCTCCATTTTCCTCCTTTGATTTCTTTCTTCCGTTTTTTCTTCTTTCATTGTCTTCGAAAAAGACAACCACTATCATTTGTTTAAACACACACTCCATTTTGCATTATATAATTTCGGCATTTATTATCTGAACACATTTATGGAACACATTTTCAGTTTCTACCTCATAAGAGATTCCTTATAATTTGATGCAACGATTTAGAATTAATGGAGATGTTAAAGATTAATAGTTAAGATAATTATAGCCTCACTAGCTTTTCCAACAGTCCTACCAAATTAGATCCATAGCGCTGTTGTTAGTTAAAATGGACGAATGTCCCAAAATAGGAATTTAGAGTAAAATCCAATGACGCAAGGCAAATATTTGCTTCCATCTCGTGTATCTCCACCCTTTTTGAAAATGATAAGCCCCCTTTAGGGAACAAATATAAGACTTATGAGTAATGGACAGATATTAACTGCTCGATATGAAATTCATAGTCTCTATTAGTTAATTTCAAACCAGTACGGGTTTCGTGAAATTGTGTAATACGTAACTTATTGAGATATTTTCCCATCTCCGCCTGACACGCTAGGTATGCTTTAACTACTATTAAAAACATTGGCCAGATTATATCCTATATGCTTTTCATGCCTTCCCGTATATGGCGAGGTAGTTAATATTATATCTGCCCTTGTCCATATCAAAGATGGTGCTAAGCTTCGTTCATTCATTCTACTGTTACAATATTCTTTAGAAATGTTAGGCCACTTATATATTCAATGATGAATTTCTCTATAAGTAATATATTTTCTCTCCATTTGCCACAAATATTATAAATTGACGATGAATATTGCCCCCTCTCTCTTTCTTTTTCTCTCACTAACTCAACCTCTCTTTCTTTATTTATTTTATTTTCACTACCAGATTTGACAGCTGCAATGTGTTGATGGAGCACTATACTATAATCCTCAAATGACTACATGGTCCGAAGATAGAAGAGAAGTAATTGACGTAAGAACTGGTGGCAAATTACATCAGAGCTGATGCAGACGACATAATTGAAATCGATACAGATATCGATAAAGCAATTTTTCGCCACGAGGTAGCATATTCTCCACTTTTTACCCCGTATTAACAATGTGGCTGATGAGGAATCTTATGAACCATCAGCCTCGCTGTCAATACGAGGTAAGGAGTGACAACCAACCAATCAACGACCAGGACTCAATTTGCTCAGCCAATCAGCTACCAAAGATGAAATTTGGTCTCCATGGTGACCAGTGACATCGTAGTAGCGCTGTAAAAGTTAGTTGACGTCACCGTAGGCACCTAACTTCTTACAATTTAAAGAGCAGTTCACTGATATTTGATCAGCTTTAAAAAATATTACGAAACCAAAATAAATCAGTCAGTTAGTATAAAGCTTTATCTTAAACATACAATTATGTATCATAGAATGAAAAATTGATGTGCTTCTGTAAACGATTTACTGAAATAATTGTACCGTCTCTACTCACTTATAGATCAAAATACCTTCAGTTAATGAATTTGAAATACTTACATGTTGAAAATCTATGAAACAAATAAATTGGCTAAAATTATATTACTTCTCAGTGCAGTGTATATTGTAAACATTTTCTTTTGGTACGGCGAGAATAAAGTGAATCAGCTGTATGTCAATATGAAGAAGCAGGCAAAATATTATACAGTGTGTGTGGGCGTGTGCGTGTGTGTGTGTGTGGGTGTGTGTGTGTGTGTGTGTGTGTGAGAGAGAGAGAGAGAGAGAGAGAGAGAGATGGAGAGAGAGAGAACAAGGAGGAGGAGGAGAGAATAACAACACAATGAGATAGAGAGAAAGGGCATGATAGAGACAGCAAATGAGAGATAGATAGGCATATAGAGAGAGACAGAGAGACAGAGAGAGAGAGACAGAGAGAATGTTGGAGAGAAGGAGAAAGTTGTAGGTGGAGGATATACATGTAGAGAAAGAAAATCTGGAGAGAGGTAGAGGAGAGTGAGAGAGAGAGGGGGAGGCAGATGGAAGGAGAATGTTAAGATGAGGGGGGGGGGGTCAATAGAAGAATATGAAATATGATGAGCAACCACAAAGGTTGGGGAAAAAAAGGAAATTTGGAAGAAAAATAACCAAAAGATAATTTTTTGGGGATCACAATGAATATGTGGCGGGATGAGTAATACATTGCTAACAATGGGGGGGGGGGGGGGGGGGGAGGGGGTTAATATTACCTACAAGTGCATTATCATGGTTGCATTCGCAAAGTTAATTAGAACAGTATAGAACATGTAAATTATTGGAATGCTTGGTGATCATGCGGAAGATGTAATAAGATAACAAATTAATAAGAAATAGAGAGAGAGAGAGAGAGAGAGAGAGATTTCTGAAAGGAAAAAAAACACACCACAACTCGCAACCCACCCCGTGATAAAAGCATATTCAAGATCCAGCTGTGAAACAAGTACTTCATTCTTTAAAAAATGGGAAATCATTACTTATTCATATTTGACTAAAAATATTGAAAAGCTCAATGAATTCATTATTTTGGAATTCTAAAATGTACCCCCTCTTACATCCTATTCCCCTCGTGCCTGTTTCAAGACAAAATTAGATGGCGCTGTTTCACTCTAATGATTTAAGGGGACATCTGATGAATATTCATGTTTCACGATGATTGTTTAGGCCCTTTTCGTAATGTAATCAAATATAATACACAAATCTAAAGAAAAATTGATTCACATGTTATAAATAATTTTATTTCAATAGTCAGAATGTGAATTGTACACATTATCTATTGCTTGTAGGTAAGTCAAACATTATGGCTTGTCCTACCTAACTAACAAAAAAAAAAACAACAACAACAACAAATCTTTTCCGTCGGGATGGGTGTCAGACAGCCCCTAACAGTTGGGGGGGGGGGGTCAAATATCCCCTTAAGCCCCATGAACGTTATTGAGTCAAGAGAATATGGCTGTACATTAAAAAAATATAAAAAACTGCCGAAATCGCACGCTCATTATTTAAAAAATGAAATGTTTCTGAATTACGGTCATTTCTGCTAAAGTTTATTATACATTATTATATTAATAAGTGAAATAAAATAAGAGGGGAATGAATATGGAATAGCTGGAAATCGAGAACTTGTGTTTAGAACGTCAAGAACAGTATATAACAAATAATAGAAAGAACAAGCATATTTGAAAAAGTAGATTTTAGTAAGAAAACCGAGAGTTGAGAGACAGAGGAGGATCCAAAGGGGCACATGGGGATGTCCAACCACCACCACCACCAGCAACAACAAAAACGACTACAACAAAATAATTTGTTTCAGGTGCCTGCCTCTAGGTCTCCGTTCCGGTCGAACCCTCTCAAAGTTCTCTACGAGCGCGAACAATGAAATAAATCCCAAAAGAAAATAATAGAGCTGTACAAAATATATTGATCGAAACGAAGGGGCTTGTACGTGCATATCTCGTCATTGATCAAACACCTTTTCGCAGTCATGCTGACAAATGCATGAAACATTAGCAGACGAAAAGAGCTCACTCACGTCATAGGGTCTTTTTCTGTTTCACCATTCATTATTACATCATAGCATTATATCGCTATTATCACCGCTCCGTGGGACGTTATGTTCACAATTTCGTCAAGTGTTCAACTGTATAGCTTACAGAAGTGCTATGACTTTGTTGAAATGCAACGTCATTGTGTGTTTTGCATTTGTATTTGCAGACTGGGTATCTCATGAACAATCGCACGTATTTTGCAGATCTAAAGTTCGGTTTCGTTTCCTGTGTTTTAACGTGCTTATCGTATATAGTTCAATTTGCAGCCGCTGAATTTGGAATACGCATACAAGATATATTGATGAGAAGAGGTAAGTGTAATGTGCATGTTTGTATGTGGTTAAAGTTATCGAATTACACCCAATCGCTAATCTCAATTGAATCAACATGATATAGATCTATATAATTATGATAATCATATTTACATTTAATATTTCTGGTTAGACTCACTGGACTACGACCGACCCTACTACCCCGCTAGGGCTATCCCTCTTGGAGTTCGGACCACTATCTTTTGAATTACCACTCGGACAATTAATAGTGAAGACCTTCACACATAATATTCCTGGATAGTGTGTGTGTGTGTGGGGGGGGGGGGGCTGTCATTGGACCATGTGGACGGGATAATTGTCCTTTGGGTGAATGGTCTGTCGGATAACAGCCCTATAACGGGCCTATAACGTAGTTGTAATAATAATTGTTGTTGTTTTTTGTTGATTTTCGTGACAATCAGTCGATTTTTTACTTAGAAGTTGCCATAAAAGGGTACTATCATTATTTTGAACATCATTTTGAATATAATAACAAAATTAATATCGTTATGTTTCATTTAAAAAAACAAGGAATCTGGATTGTGAGGAAGGGAAGGAGACAGTGTCACTTATCTATATATCACATGGTATTTTCGAATAAACCAGGTGCATTTTTGTCCAGGTCATCATGGAGTGGATCGTACAATCCGATACAAGCTTATGGCTCATGACAGGTGCCATCGCATTGGTGGTCATGTGGTTTGTGAAGGGTTTAATGTCTCGACCCAAGAACCTTCCACCAGGGCCAGTGGGGCTGCCATTCCTGGGAGTAGCGTGGGAAATGATGAGGTAAGTCTTCACTTCAACTCCTATACCTCATCCTTTATTTGCTATGCCTAGGCTATCAGTCATATGAATGACTATCCAGTTATCTGCCTACATGTAGTATGTATCTTCCTATCTACCTCATTATCAGTCAATGTCTATGGATATACAATTTATCTGAATGGATTTCTATCTGTCTATCTATCTACCTACCCATCTTACGCGTATACGACTCTCTACGTGGACTTTCAACAATCATATATTATCAACTTATTTATGATATTCATATATTCAGGTGTCTAGAAATCAACATATTAAATCATTGTATTTGTTTCCAGCTAAGATATACCAATCTATTTCTATTTATTTCATTAACCAATCATTCTACCAATCATCTATTTTTCAACGCCAAAACAGGGCTAAACCCGACCCCCTCGCTCTGTACTCGTCCTGGGCGGACCAGTATGGCGACGTCGTGTCCTTCAAGGTAGGCCCCATGACCTTTGTGCTCCTGAACTCTTACGAGGTCATTGTGGAAGCCTTCAGCCACCCCGACCTCAACAACCGACCCAAGAGCCAGATGGTAGAAGAGGCTCTCGGACTTGCTAATAATGGTATTTACTCAACACATTTCTTTGATGTTTGGAAGAGACAACAATTTTCTGGTAATCAAAGGAAACCTCACCCCAAATAATAACTATAGGTAAATTGAAAAATGAGATGTATTCCTGCCCCTTGATGTGCAATATTACTTATGAAAATGTACAAGAGATATTAAATGACGAAATTCCTGGCACGATGTGATGCCTTTTAGCATGACACGGGCGCAGCCATTTTCTTGAAAATGTGACGTACCAGGCGATGTTGTACCAGGCGCGTAGCAAGGGGGGCGGTGGGGGCGGTCGCCCCCCCCCCGCCCCCCCCCCAAAAAAAAAGAAGAGAGAAGTGAACGAAAAGGGTAAGAGTACGTAGGAAGAAAAAGGAGCAGACAAAGAAACTTTTTTGAAAACTCAGATAATGATTAATAGTCGGGAACGGTACAACGAATCGTCTTCTTTCTCTTATAATTTAATAAAACGTCAAATCTTCCGCGCTTCGCGTGGGCTGGTGGAAACTGAGTTCAGACAAGGATTAAGAGTTGAGAACGGTACAACGAATCGTCTTCATTCTCCATATATAATAAACGACCGTTCACAAAGTACGTCACGTTATCAAGAAAATGGCGATGCCCATGCCGTGCTGAGAAATTGTACATTATTCTTGCTCTATGCCTTTCTCATACACTTTGGTGGGGAATCGTGTAGATTAATGGGCAAGAATATAATAAATTTCTCAGAATAAGTAATGTTATTGCTAGGGGTGAGGTTTCCTTTAAGGTTATTAAAAAGAAAGAAAGAATTAAAAAAAAATAAGGGAAGAAAATTTAGAAATAGACAAAAGATACATGAATAAAAAATGCTTCTCCTATATTTTCTAATTTTCATTCTTCATCCTTCGTTTATTTTGTCCTCCGATCCAAGCTAACTTTCCATTATTAAAACAATGTTAAGACCAGGGGAAAAAACAGCAATCAAATCAAACTATATAATGGTGAGATATTCTTAAAAAGCAATCTACGTCCTATATTTGTGGAACAGGTGGCCAAAAGGCCGGGACTCAAACACCATTTTGTTTTTCTATTACCAAATCAAATTCCCTTTAGGGGTCATACTTGCCAACGGAAAGGTATGGGAGGAGCAGCGAAAGTTCGCCCATTCTGTCTTCCGCAGTCTCGGAGTTGGCAAGAAGAGCTATGAGGACACCGTGGCAACCGAGATGGACCAACTCAGGGCAGCCATAGAGGAGAAGGAGGGGTCTTCGTTTGATCCAAACCTCCTCTTCGGACAAGCCGTTGCAAACATCGTCTGTTCCGTTGCCTTCGGAACGCAATATAAATACTCTGATGTCGAATTCAGACAGGTAAGTTGTTTTTTGTTGGATAATATCGGGCTTTTTTTTTTCTTCATTTTTTAATTTTTAATTCAATGATATATTTATTAGAAAGTACGTCTCGCAGCCTAGGCTTAATTGTTTTGTTTTTCACAAATAAAAACAAAATGCATATAACAATACAAAGGGAAAACAATGATACACGATTTTGCATGGCAATGTGATCCCTAATTAACATGATTAAATATAATCCAATTGTATATATTTTTCTGTCGGAAGGAGAAGAAAGAAGAAAAAGCAAACGTAGAAGTAATTTTGTCCCGTACGTTACAAAACGCATCTCAGATTTTGGTACCTAATGCTAAGTTCACACCGACGCCGAATTGATGGCGCATTAAATCGGCGAGCAAAGCGGCGGCAAAGCGTAACAAAGCTTAATTAAAGCGTAAAGACCGTAATAGAGCGTGAGAAAGCTTTGAGCAATTCGGGACATTCGGCAAGAGCGCCAACAAATTTTAAACTGTTTAAAAATTTGAGGCGATCTGTCACGAATTGCGTAAAGCGGGGAGAGCGTATTAAAGCTTATCAAAGCGTCACAAAGCTTATCAAAGTTTTGCTCAAAGCGTAGGAAAGCTTAACAGAGTTTAAATTTTTGGCGCTCTTGCCGAACGTCCCGAATTGCTCAAAGCTTTCTCACGCTCTATTACGGTCTTTACCCTTTAATTAAGCTTTGTTACGCTTTGCCGCCGCTTTGCTCGCCGATTTAATGCGCCATCAATTCGGCGTCGGTGTGAACTTAGCATAACATCTCAGGAGATCGTGAGATTTTTTGAAAAAATGACGCCGAATTGATCGCCGATTTAAAGCGCGACATTCGGCGTCGGTGTGAACTAGGCATAATAGCCACATGCATTGGACTTGTCCTGCTACCGTTCATGCAGTCTGATTAGAAGTAGCCAACCTGCCTCACCCCTGCCTAGATAACGGGGATAATTTCAAAGGGATTTGTAGTGCAGGGTTATTATCCTGATGGATAGTTTTCCTGTTAAGTAGTCGCCATAGTTTGTAATTGTCTGGTCAGTAGTCGTCCTGATACGATTTCTTTGTCATTGTGCATTTTCATACTCGGGTTCAGATTTTGAATCTTATATGAATGGACAACATCAATCTATTGATGATGCTTTATTTATACTTCGCTTCAGATTTTGAATCTCATGAATGACAACATGGAGTTATCGAGCGGCGGAGGGGCACTTCTATTCCTCCCACTGCCCGGGATATCTAAGATTCCTTTTGGGGCGCCGAAAAAGATGGTCAAGAACATGAAGGAGGTTAACAAGTTTCTCCTGAATCAGATTGAAAGCCACGAGAAATGTCTGGACCTGGACCATCCCAGGGACTTCATCGACCTCTATCTCAAGAAGATGGCCGAAACAAAGGTAAGTGCAAACCAGCTCACTGTTTTGTTCCATCAGGTACAATGTATTCCCGTCTTCAGGTTACAAGAACCTTCTTGAATAATCAAGATAATGACGTGGATCCTAATCAAATGATTGGTTGAGAGCGTACACGTGACCAGGCATTTTTTTGCCTAACACGTAGTTTTGATAATGACCGGTCATTATCAAATGCTAATGACCGGTCATTAGTAAACTCATGTCAAAAAACATAATCTTATAAAACAATTAATACACATCATTAATGCCCTCACTGCTGTGTATTATTTGTATACTAATTCCAAAAGGGTCGGGTGACACATTTGTGAAATACACCCCTCTTATCACCAAAGTGTTGGGTCCAGTTTACCCGGCACTTTCTGTTTAAAAAAAAACCTACTGCATATTATCTACGAAAACTCGCGTCTCGCGACCAGGGGCGTAGACAACGGGGGGGGGGGGGGGATGAGGGGGATGCATCCCCCCCACCTCACAAGGTGGGGGGATGGCATGTACAATCATCCCCCCCAGGTTTTGGGGAATGATATTTGCTTACTTAATAAGTCATAATGATGATAATAATAGTAATAATAATAATGATAACAATTATAATATTAATAATAATAATAATTATGATGATGATAATAATAATCCTCATCATTATTGTAATTGTGTTTATTGTTATTAGCCGCATTCACACGGTAAAAGCCAATTCAGACGGTAAAAAAAAGAAAATCTTACAAGTATTTTGTGGTTATCTTGTGGTTTGGAAACCACAAGATAACCACAAGATTAAACAGGCGCTGATCTACGGGGGTGGGTTTAGGGGGTTTAAAACCCCCCCCCCCCCTTGGGCGCCCCCCCCCCCCCAAAAAAAAAGGAAACAAAAAGAAAAAAAAAAAAAAAAGAAAAAAGAACGCACGCTGGAGAGAAACCCTTTCAAGTGCAAATATTGTGAGAAGATATTCAACTCATCTGGTAACTTAACCAAACACATGATAACTCTGGATATAACTGTGTATTTAACTGTTACTTGATTTAAAAAGACGTTATCATGCACTGCTTTGTATGGTCTCCATTGTGTTAATAGATGCCAGGAAAACATCACTTACGGGGTTCAAATAAACACCCCAAAAAAAATCGGCTCGCCGCTTCGCGGCTCGTGGACGATGCTCTGCATCGTCATTATTTTGGTCAACCCCCCCCCTTAGCAAAAAGCTAGATCCGCCCCTGAGTCATCCCCCCAGGTGTACGAACCTGTCTACGCCACTGCTCGCGACCCGACACTTTTTTTATACGAGCTAAGTAAGTGTGCAACACAAATGGCAGGTGAAAGAGTTGCATGGCGTGCTCTCGTGAAGACCACAGCAGCGCTTTACAGCGCCACTTGAAGTTGATGATGATGAAGTAAGGTAATCTGTCAAACATTTACGTAACTTTCCTTCCAGGTTTTGGAGACATCCTCCTACTCGAAGATTAACCTGAACTCGGCTATAGGTGATCTCCTCTTCGCGGGAACTGAAACGACCACCACCACTCTCAAGTGGTGCATCCTCTACATGATGGCGCATCCCGAGATGCAGTCACGTGTTCAGAGAGAGCTTGATCACGTGGTAGGCAGAGAGAGACTTCCGAGGCTGGACGATCGGAACGACCTTCCCTACACGAATGCAGTCCTGATAGAGGTTAGTTTAACACTTTTGGACACGGTTAAAAAGTATGCCAAAATTGATAAAGGATGTCTCTACAACCCGTAAAGCAACTTGTATAGAGTAATGAGTCGAGGAACTATGCAATGATGGATTGTGATCATATTCCAAGTAGTTACTGGGATAGACTCAGAATAACTAGTGAGGTTATGCGTTTTACTGTATAATTTTTGTATTTTTATTACAACAAACATGAATTCAGCACATGCTAGATAACGAGAGTTACCAAATACTTTGAATATCTTTGCCCGCGTTAGCTTTTCGGTTCAATCGGCCGACTCTTCCTAGAGCGGCACTACATTCACAAACCGACCGGACCTCAAGGCAAATGACTGAACAGTTTGGCCTTCTTGGATAAAACTACCTCTTATCCTTCATAGTCGCCTCAAAATTCGCCTTTATCAATCCCAATGAAAAGGCATTTGATAGCGTTGTTTTCTTCCCCGATCAGGTTCAGCGTAAGGGAGCCGTAGCAGCATTGGGTGTGCCCCACGTAGCGGCTGAAGACACCTCGTTCAGAGGCCACACTATACCAAAGGGCGCCACCATTTTGTCCAACATCTGGAAGGTGCTGAACAGCGAGGAGCTCTGGAAAGATTCTGATGCCTTTAAACCTGACAGGTTTCTGACCGAAGACGGCAAGCTGATTAAGAGGGAAGAACTTATATTTTTCAGTGTCGGTAAGTCCTGAGTTATGCAAGGTTGATATCGGCTCACCTAGTTTGTACTCTGAGTCATCTATACAGAAAGTTTGGCAAATGTGATTTTGGTGGGCAGCATCACTAATTAGACCCGTAAACTGTCGCTTTTCTAACAAAACAAACTAAGTTTCCTCACTGAAAAGTATCTTGCCACAATCTGTGTACCTACTCTCCCTGTACGTTTTAGGTAATCGTCTAGCGCCCTCTTTTCTGGGGCTGATACTTGGTGGTTATTCAACGGGGGAAAATTAGTTTCGTTCATCTATATGCATCTTCAGAAAGGTTAAAGGGATACAAAGCACATCGGCACGGCATGACTGCACCAATGCTACACCTCTGGTCGGTGAACAAAACAAAATTGGATTAACAACTAAAGATTTACAGTAATTTATTCTTATCATGTTTGTTTTGTTTTTCAATTTACAACAAAAATGTTTTTCTGTCTGTAGGTCGTCGAGTGTGTTTAGGAGAGCAGCTAGCTCGGATGGAAACTTTCCTCGGGTTTACGAGTCTCCTTCATAGATTCACCTTCAAGAAACCAGACAACTCACCACCATTGTCGTTTGAGGGCGTCTTAGGTATCACGAGAAATACCATGCCTTACTTGACATGCGCACTGAGTAGGGACTAACAATGTCGTGATTTTTATTTTTAAAAATACTACTGACAAAGAAAAAACAAACGACCAAACAAAATAAAACACGACTTTATGATTGTTCATATACTGGCTTATTATTTTACTATCCTCGTGTGACACTTTCACCAATATTGTTTTTAAATTATTCTATTTTATTCAAGTAAGACGATCGCAAAGAATTTCATATTGGATCAGCTCAAGGCAACTTCAAAACTATATTTCAAGTTCAAGTTCAAGTTCAAGCTTAAGTTCATGTGTATTATCTCCATTAGGCATGTAATACAATTTAACAGAATTTTTAACATGTGATATAAAGTACATAACATGAACAATTTTAAGGAACAAGGTTTGGCGTTCAACAATAAGGGATAGAGCAATTACATCGATCTGGCGCTGCTCAGTGGCTGCCGGGCTCACGATCAATTGGGCAAAAAGAATTTCCGTTTCGGTTTAATAAAATTTGGAGTGGGCTTTAAAAGATTACTCTTATTATTATTATAAAATTATATTATGCATATTCTAGTGAGATAGAAAGACGAGGAGACCTATATAAACCATGCTCGGAGTACGTAACATTGTCATTATAATGTTTACTCAACTCAAATCTGACGCACAAGGCTATTGAAAATTGGCTCTGGTTGATTTCTCGAAAGTCATTGCGATCGTGTAAAGTGAAGAAATCGAGAATTGTGCTTATAAATATCAAGTAGCGCGACCTGGGAAGAAAATGAGGATGACAAGTTCACGAGTGTCAAACAACTCTTGTAGGAGGATACAGTTAGTCTGCGTGTAAAAACCCTGGTCAGTCGTACTAGGTAACAGAGCGTCTGAACGGGAAGACTATCCAGACTGTTCAATCTTCTGCACTGATAGGCTCTGTGCTATAGCTGCTCCTGACAAATTCAGAGACTGACAGAGTTGGACTCATCACAAGACTCCATGTAATTGTGTTTAAGTGTCTAATTAGAGTCTGTGCCTGCAGACTAGGCAGGGGTCGTGGTAATGACCTCTGTGATCCCACACGCGTCAGGTGGTATACAGCGATGATTCATTGTTAAAAAATGTGTGAGGATAAAATGGTAACGGGTCTGCAGCTCGGTGAGGAACATAGCGGTGTGGCAGCGGTTCTGGTCCGACGTCCTGTGGACAAAAACGCAAGCAATAAACGACCCTCATGCTTTTTTTCTTCTAAAGTAGTATTAGGTCTAGTAGTGGTGATTATTTTACCTGACTGCTAACAAAGCATAAATGCTTGTTATTGTAAGCAACCAGAGGACCGACGGCTTTAGGTCCTCTCCAAGAGACCTGGTAATGAGGATTGTAAGCTTGTAATGTTCTACTTAGGTCAATACAAATCAAATAAGCCGTTTATCATAACACAATGGCGAAGATACAGAATAAAGAGAAGACCCTGGAAATAACATAGTTTAAATAAAGATCTAGGGAATGCATCCAGTGTTTACAGTTTTGAAAACGGTATGGACAAGTACTGAGATGGTGTTCAGTAGTAAATCCTGTGTACTCATTGTGGCCTAATACGGATCGCTCACCGGACACAAGAAAACCGGTCTTCTCTTTGTCCATCTTTATCTCCTTGAGGTTCTATCTGATTCCTTCAGAGTTTTTTCTTGTTCTTATTCTTGTTCTGTATAGTCAGATGGCTTAAGATACAAGTTCCTGGAGTATACGGGCTTGATTGACAAAATTTGTCGACAAGAAGGGGGGGGGGAAAGATAATTTAAAATACAGTAATATAAATGTTGTCATTCTATACAGGTAGTGGCGAAAGCAAGTTGTAATTAAATTTATGAGATAATAGTCCTTTGAAAACGTTTCTTTTTGTAAGCTTGTAAGTTTGCTCTTGAAAGTGTGGTGCATGTGTGTTTGTGTATTTCCGTCTTTCTTTCCGTCTCTGTTATTTAAATTTCTCTCTGTCTTTATCTGTATGTCTCTCCAGCCTTCCACTATATCAATGACTATGCGATGACGACACAATGCTGATTCATAACAATCCTTGGATGCCTCGATCATTTCTCTGAAAGTCAGTCCATTTTCCGCGGCCCCCCCCCCCCACACACACACACGCCCCTTTTACTTATCGTATAGTTTCAGTCCAATTAGAGCTTGTTATTTTAGATTTTCCGATATGATTTTTATTACTTTGACTCCAATGAAGATAAGTACTTCTTTTCACATAATCGGAGACATGAAGAAAAGAAGAAAAAAAAACATCCCTATCATCGCATCCAACTTTTACCCTTAACCCCTCCCCTTATTTTCGCTGCACCACTGACTAACAATACCAGTCATTGAAGGCCGGTATAGGAAATGAGTCATAGAGGAGCATCCTTTTGTCTACCGCCGATATAACCTTATTCTGACCTACTTTCTTTCTCTCTCTCTCTCTCTCTCTCTCTCTCTCTCTCTCTTCTATCGTTATATAAACCTCAAAAGATGACATGAAGAGATACTAAACCAACATCACTCGGCATTCACTAGTTTTTAAAGGGAAAGTCTACCCTGATATCAAGATGGTTTTAATAAAAGAAAACAGAAAGAAAGAGCGAAATTAGTGACAGTTTGAGCAATAACTGATTAAAATAGGAAGGTAACCGGTTATAAATGTTGTGAAGGAAACAGTGTGGAATCGATCAGAACAAGTTGATCATGTTGCATTGATGTGTACTGCAAGGTTCTGGAATCATCCAAATGATAAGAAATTTGGCCCAGTCTTGGTAAAAGTAACAAGCACTGTACACAAAAAGATGTATATCGGACTACACAAACATGTGGCATAAACAAATGAGCTGTCACGTGTTGTATTTAGAATATGAAGGCATTTAAGGAGCCCTGCGTTTCAGGGAACATTTTTTCCTCTGATGTACAAATTATTTTACACCTCATCAGAACTTAAATATACGTTTTTGTTAGTACAGGGCAAGATACGACACAGAGTTGCCAATTTGTGTTTGATTTATCACACTTTCAAAAACTCATAACTTTCTTATTTTTAATCGTTTTCTTCTTCAAACTTACACAGACTGACCTGTTTCTCTCATTCTCTACCTCTATGAAAACCAACTTTATATCAGGATAGCCTTCCCTTTTAATGATTATACAATCAATTCATCGTAAAACATATCGGAATGTGATCTTACTGTAATTGTTTTGTAATTGTTTTGTTCTTTAAACATTTTGTGTTTGAATACGTATTTTGAATGTGCTATGTATTGAGAGAGACAACATAATATTTTAAGTTGCAACCATCACCTTCTACATTATGACACTGTATCTATCCATCACCTTCCATTTGTAAGGTTTTACCTTCATAATGACTCACCACAACAAAAATCCATGGTTTTAATGATTATAGTGATACGAGAAAAACCGGTAAAAGATAGAGAGAGATTTTGACCAGGATGACCGCTAAACAGAAGTCAAGGTATCATTTTGCAAAGTTCAGAGCGTTTACACGCAATGGATTTGTATACACAGGGGGGTTTTTTTCACAAAGATCTTAAATCTACCTAACCTCTAAGTTGGACTTAAACATTACAGAGAGCAATTTGTAGCCTAAAATAAAACATATTCAAAAGCAAAAATTTAATTATTTTAGACTTTCATAAATTCCACATCAAGAACATGAAATATCCGTGATAATATAAATATGAATGATTTTAATCAACATTTTTATGCCTTTTAAAATAACTTTTACGAATTTTTTTCAAAGATGATAACGGCATTCCATAATTGTTAAGTGCAGCTTAGAGTTAAGTTCGACTTAGGACCTTTGTGAAACACCCCCCAGGACTTTCACCCTAGCTACATGTAAAATGAAAATTAAAGGTAGGAGGAAGCGAAATGATCGAAGAAAATACATGTACAATCAAAATGATTTCCCTGATCAAAACTATTTAAATTCATTTAGCGAAGAAGAACATTTGTGTAAAAATTATGAAACATTACGGGTAAAGGGTATTTTCTTCCGCAACATACAAATCAAATTACATTTCAGTAATACAACATATACAAAATATAACAAATATGAACGTATATATAATATGATGTTAATAAATGTTTACAATAAAACAACATGTAACTGATAACACACTACTAAGAAGTATACATGTAGGGGAGGAGGGAATAGTAAGATAATAACTAGAGAGAGGAAAAAAGAATTATCCCCAAAAATAACCTCACATTAAGACAAGAGAGAAACTTCATGAGTCAGAAAAGGGACATTGAATTGACTTTTTATGGTCACACTAATCTTGCTGATGCAACTAAAAAAGTATACATTTTAATGTTTTTTAAAAGTGAGACGTTATTTCCGTATTCAATACTTAGCTCAACTTAAACTTAACAACTTAAAATAGTAATTGTTAAAACTAAGCAATGGCTGAAAGAAAAGTCGTAATCACTGAAATAAACATTAATGTAAAGTTCATGCTGCTGTAACTCTTTAGTACCCTGATTTCTCATGATGAGTCATTAAGCAAGAGTTTGCTTGATTTAGAACACTAGTCACGCTATAATATCTTCCTTGTTTCTAGATTTCATGAGAGGGCACGATCTTCATGTTAACTACGTCACTTAAAGGTATCGTTTAACAATGTTAAATCTGAGATGCAAGGCCCTACGTGTTATCAGTGACTGTGATTATGGTGTAAAAGTGAAGCCCTAACAAAATTGCGCTTCAAAATGATTATGAAGTGCCTCAAAAAAGTACAACATCTTTAAGTGACCGGTTTTACCATACTCATTTTCCCCAATAGACTAGTGTTATACAAAATCGTTAGGAATACAGTTTTTGACATTTCGATTTCCAATCATAAATATCTTAATAATCAGACAGGCGATCGGCTTGTAAAAGTCATGGGGTTCCTGACTGACCTAAAGGTTTATCATTATGATTACAGCATGAGCTAAATCAAGGATTTTGTTTTAGAATCTGAGACAAAGATACCCAATCCCTTTAACAAATGTTGAATTGCTTCTGTTCATCGACCACAATCCATCACATCCTTCCAAATGCTATTGCACATTCTGAAAATAGCTGGTAATGATGATCACAATAAAAGGAAATATACCAACAGTTTATACCATTGTATACAGATAACAATGAGGGAATGGGTTTTAATAATGGGTTGTACACTAAGGGAAACCATGCTTGAAAAATTAAAAGAGGGTGATAAGAGAGATCATTTGATATTTTGGTTTGGTTTTATGGTTTTGTTTTACCTGACAGCTACAAAAGCATGCATATGCTGCTGGATGAACAACCATGGAGAAAAAAATGGAGAATGAAACAGAGAGATAGAGAGACGGAGAGGGGAGGGATGGGGAGATGGAGCTGGAGGGGAGGGACATAGACACACATAGAGAGACAAAGAGACGGAGAGAGCGACAGAGAAAGAGAGAGAAAGTGATGTGAACAAAAAAGAGTGGGAGAGAGAGAGAGAAATAGTTGGAAAAGAGAGAGAGAGAGAGGGGGAGAGAAAGAAAGAGAGAGAGGAGACAGAAAAAGGAAGGGCAAAGGAAATATAAATGGAGAGAGAGAATGTGTATTGGGGGGGGGGGGGGATGTACCGTTACCAACAAGGTGTAGTTTCATCTAAACTCTCCCATTCAATCAAGATCGATATATAAAAGTCACTTTTGAAAAACAGATCCTGATTGGTTGAAATTAGGAGATCATTCGTAACTTTCGACCAATCGCGACACTCGAGGCCCATAAAAGGCGATGAATCCATTAAACGAACACATTAATGTTTCGAATCTCGTCACGTGTACCATCAATATTATGACATGCATGAAGCAAATCTGCCATAATCAAATGTTATTTACGTTGGGCTCTTGAATTGCAGTAATGATTAATAAAGTTATTATAAGACCTCGGTGAAGACCGTTGAAGTGTTTTTCTACTTCTAAAAAAGGCGCACCAGTACGTGACACCGTTTTTTGTTGTTCTTGTTGTTTTATAAGAGTATGAATATTTTCGAGTTTCAGTCTTTCATATTCAACTCTTGTCAAGTGCCTTGTACATTACTAGAAACCAGGGAGATGGGAGGGAACCATGCTTGAAAATGATAAAAGAGGAGATCATTTGATATTTTAGTTTGGTTTGATGGTTTTGTTTTACCTGACAGCTAGAAAAGCATATGCTTCTGGATGAACAACCATGTGACCGATGGCTTTAATTAGTCCTCTCCGAGTGTCTTGGTAATGAGGATTACTGTCTTACCAAAGGGCACTAGCACATCGACTTGGTTTCGAACCCAGGACCTCCCGGTTGCAAGTCACGTGTCTATTAAAGGGATAGTTGAGTTCTGTTGCAGAGGGCGCTACACAAAATAATTTTTGTGTGAGATAATGAAAAACTGAGTGTCAAATTTGAAAGAACATAATATTTAAATGACAAAATCATCTTTGTTTGATCATAATCGGTTCAGAGACGGCTGAAATATAACAATTTCTAATAATTGTGTACCACCACAAATATTAGTTATTTTGAAAAATTTGAAAAAAGCGTTGGAAAAAACGAAATAACACCTTTGTACGTTGTTTTTCAGCAAAATTGAATGCCGATGTTGTTGTTTTTTTGTTGCATTTTCTTGTTGCTTATATTACGCACAACCAACCGGCCCATGTATTGTTATTTTTAATTAATAATTAATTAACGGTCACCGTGTTTTTTTTTTAAGTGGCGCTAAATTGGAATGCTCGTATTGGCTAAATTTCACACATTTTGGGGTCTAAAATTACCTTCATAGCAATTTTAGGTTCTAAAAGGGCACTAGAAAATAAGAATAAGAGCAATAACCATGCACTTTGAAGGCATTTGCGGTCTGAAAACAGAACTACCCCTTTAATATCAACATACATAGCACCACAGTCATCAGACTTCTTCCGGAATAAATAGCTGAGTCATTCATAATTATGTTAAATCACTTCACTTTAACACCGTAAAAGGAATCAAGTATGTAAGTTTTAAAAAAAAAGTTATTAATAATGTTCTCACGAACTCGGTTATAGTATTACAAAGATGAAACCGACATATGTAATCTATCTCAAGAATCACTCTCAATTTCTAATAAAGCACTGATAAACGCTTACATGTTGTTTTTAAGTACCTTTGCATAACCTGATATTTATACCTTTTTTTTTACACGCAATACCTAATAAGGCATTGGTAAACGCTTACGGGTTGTTTATAAGTACCTTTGCATATTAACCTGATTTTTTATTTTTTTTTCAATGATATTTTGTATCATTGAAATTTCTATAATACTTCAATTGTCTCTTATTTTTCCTTTCTTTTTTGGTTATCTCTAAATATACCATCTTGGTTTCGAATTTCATGCTTATTAGTATATTGTTTCCAAAAGATTAATTTCCTTGTAATCATATTTTTGAAAAGCATTTATTATTTTGTCTACTTCATCCGTTTCGAAAGAGACGGTAGATAATGGAAATGAGTATTTCCTCTAATCTATATCTAAATGAACACACGCAATTCCTAATAAGGCATTGATAAACGCTTACGGGTTGCCCATAATTACATCTGCATCACCTGATTGAGACATTTTACTTTTTGTTTCCAATGATATTTGTATCATAGACATTTCTGTGATTTTTCATTTACCTCTTATTTTCCCCCTTTTTTCCATCTCTAAATATACCATCTTGGTTTCGGTCTTCCTGTTTATAAGTTTATTGTTTTCAAAATATTTATTTCCTTGTGATCATATTTTTAGAAAAGCAATTAATATTTTGTCTACTTCACTCAACCTCCGTTTCATAAGAGACAGTAGATAATGAAAACGAGTATTCAATAAGTAATTCCACTTGACTTTTTGCGATTCCACTTAGGAAGACAATTCATCATAATTCTGAAAATACCAGTTAAACCATTTTTAATATGACATCGACATGGTTATTATTTTACCTGACTGCTAAGAAAGCATACATGCTTGTTAGTAAGCAACCAGACGGCCGACGGCTTTAGGTCCTCACCGAGGGACCTGGTGATAAGGATTAATGCCTTACCAAAGGGCACTAGCGCACCGACTTTGTTTTGAACCCGGGTCACCAGATTACGAGACCACTGCTCCATCGACTGAGCTATTGCGCCTCATATATGTTTTGAAATAAAATCAACTTAATAAAAACAAAGCATCACAAACCGCTGTTTGCTTAATTTAATTCCTAAAAGGAATCCGTGAGCAAAAATTAAAAAGGTTGAAAAACGCTGCATTATAATTTATAATTATGTAAAGTGAAGAAATAATTATTACTTTATGTATATGATTATGTTCTATTTTGAAAACGCAGAAATAAAAACAAACAAACAAACAAATATCTATAAAGTAAAAGTGCTTTGCATTTTAATTGGCTATTAAGGAACACTATACGATTTATTCCACAATTACCCGTATTTTTGGCTGCATAGAAACTGCTGATCTCAAAAGGAAATAATTTTCTGCTACTTTTAATGTCTCTTGAAAATATAGATACTAGTGTATTTTCTCGTGATTCAATAGTAGTGCGTCTATTAAAATACAAAGTGAATTAAATAAGTCACCTTAAAATATGTATAATTATCATTGGTTTTCAAGTAACCAATTCGTTTTGTATTGATATATATATATGTATATATATATCCCTCACTCTGTGCCCTTCTCTCTCGCTCTCTCTCTCTCTTTCCCCCCCCTCTCTCTCTGTCTTTCCCTCCCCCTCTCTCCCTCTTTGTCACATTATTTAAAATGAGAGAATTCATAGTTGTTTACATCTTCTCTACCCCATGGCATCCAGGGAGGGTACTATATTCCAGTTTTCGGGCACACAAAGATTCGTTTTTTTTTTCAACAGTGGAATGCTAGAAGTCCAATATATATAGTTCGTTGAAGCCCGATTGTGCTTTATGTACTTTTACGATAAGTAACGATACTAAATCAAGGCAATAAGTGTAGGCCCATTTTGTTTAGAACTTGCCCATAGGTTTTTTTTTCTTCAAAACAAATATTTAGATTTGTGTGCGATTAAAGGAAAATTAAAATAGTAGAAAAAAGTTCAACTTTTCACTTTACAATCATAATCCACAGTCCTTTTTTCGCTGAGCAGCTCCCCACCCCCCTCCCCCCATCCGCACCCCTCCCTCTTATCCGCGGGGAATCAAATAAGACGGTAATATTTGATCCGCTGTCAAGCGCCGAGACTCGTCGAAGCTCAAACCCATTGCAATATGACCTTGGTTCGAAGTTAATACCAGGTCATAATTTTGTCATCATAATCCAGAATCATCCTGAGATTTGGTTGTCTGGCAATAGTTCAGCCATGCGTACTTGCGCGCACACTCTATCAGTCACTCTGAGGTTGGCGTGACTTACTCCCTACTTTCGTCACTATTTGCAAATGATTTATAATTACATCCAACATTTGCTGACAACATTATGTTTTCACAGCCTGCGTGCCTCAGGGAGCAGTCACCGAAATCCGTGCGAAGTACATCCAGGTAGGATAACTATACAGGTGTACATTGTGCTTGCGTCTGTTCGGGTACACGGGGCATTGCAACGGAGGGCTTATTTGAGAGCGCACACACAACGGTATAAACTTTCATCCAGTGGTATTCATTTACATTGGTGCTTTGGCGCGCATAGGACCCGTCGTCTGCGGCATACATTTTGGAATACTTCACGATCGTGAGAAAAATTCATCACCGTCTGACTCGGTGGATCTACGAACCCGGTGTAGAAAAACACGAGACTTGAGCCGTGTTTTGACTAGCTTTGACACGAGAACCATGGATATTAACAGGTTCGTGCTGTGTTGTATAGTAGTGGCCTGTAGCAGTCTGTGTCAGCTGACTTATGGAGGTGTTCTACCGGGGGAGCTCCAGGGTGATGGTGGTGTGGATGTGGGGCATCTAGATGGTGTTCCTGGAGCTGGTAGGATGATTTTGGGGAGGTATGCCAGAGCACCAGGCCCAGGAATTCAGACGTCGAAATGCAGCGGAGGACTGGACTTGTATTTTGTCTTGGACAAGTAAGTTTTAAACTTCGGACTTCTGGTATCTTATTTCTCTGTAATCTTCTGAAAATGATTTTATTTAGTTACAAACCAAACATTATTTTGTATTGAATTTTCCCTTATTCATTTCTATTGCTATTTAACTTTATATAATTCCTGTATATTTTGTAGACATGTTTCCATTTTGTGTGTGTTCTGTGTTTTCTATATTCTGTATCTTATATGTGTTTTTATGGATTTGAATTGAAACTTGAAACTTGAAGATCTAAATGTTTACCAGGGAAAACTACAAGAGTAATCGGTTTAGGAAGAGACCCTATAACGTCCCTTTAGATAGGCTCTACGATTACGGATGAAAGGAAATAGTCAAGTCAATCTAGCAATATTTAGGAGGCAACATAACCCACCACTATACTTGCAAAATAATTTATTCCACTGCAATGCATTTCAGTAAGCTCCCCTAAACAACATATTAAAAGTCTTAAGAAATCAAAGTATGGGAAATTCTGAAAAAGTACACAACATCGCTAAAAAATTGCATCCAGGTACCCGACTAACATGATTCAGGTATTGAAACCAATGTGATCGGTTACTGAACACGATGAACACATTTTTAGATTGATGATATAAACAGCAATTGCATAACGTGCGTATTATGCAAATTAGTGCGCGATATAATGGACAATTAAGGAGATATTAAATTTCCCCATGAAATGGTACTTGGAGAATAAAAACTAGGTAATTTGACTATTACGTGTTTAGACTGATATGATCGGGGTAATTATAGATGATGTACATATTTCCAGATTATTATCATACATTTGATTTGCATATTATGTAAATTAGACTCCACCTAAGGGAAATTTAGGGAATAAGTCATATTTTCCTGATAAAAGTGTATGTAGGTAACCAAATCAAAATTAATTAAAAGTTAACACTAATGTTTCTAGGGTCCCATAACGTGATGCTCACATTCTGAAACTAATATCCTGAATTTGATTAGCATGATATGCTAATCAATGGTAATCAGTGACCCCTATAAGGAAATTGTTAAATTTGTCAATGTATTCAAAGGCGCCTTTAATTGCCGTTCCATACATAAAGAAGTATCCAGATATCTGCTTGAAATGGTTTTAGTATTAATAAAACCATTATTTTCGTTCAAGGTCGTTGTAATGCACAAATTGAAAATATTATACCATTGGTGGAATTTCCTTGATTTGCATAATATGCAAATTTCTATCTCCGATAATAACAGATAATCAATATTGAAACCGCAAAATTAGTATTGATTTGATTTGATTTAATTTGATTTATTGCTTTCTGCATTTTGCATACAATGATAATTAGTAACAACATGAACATTTTGTATTTCCTTTGAATTCTAGTATTTTCATAAATGATTGTTTTTATTAACGAGCTAATAAAGTCACATACTCTACAAAAGACATTGATAATTTCAATCGGATTATATTATTTATCACATTTTCACTTCCCATGAAAACTTGTATTTTCTTTAACTCTAATATTTTCATAAATGATTGTTTCATATCAAGGAGAACATGAAGTCACATACTCTACAAAAGACATTAATAATGTCAATCGGATTATATCATATTATACAACATTTTCACTTTCCATTAAACTTACATTTTCTTTGAGCTCTAATATTTCCATATATAATTCTGTTAATCAAAGAGAAATGAAGAGAAATTGATAATGTCAATCGGATTATATTATTTACAACAGTTTCACTTACCATGAAAACTTGTATTTCTTTGAGCTCTAGTATTTCCATATATGATTCTGTTAATCAAAGAGAAATAAGAAAATGTAATAATGTCAATCGGATTATATTATTATCATATTTTACTTACCATGAAACTTTCACTTTCTTGAGGTCTAGTATTTCCATAAAAGTAGTGATTTTTTTATCAACGAGTAAATAAAGTCGAGGTAATGAGGTAATAATGTCAATCAGATTAGATTATTTACATCATTGTAACTTACCAAGAAATTTTCACTTTCTTTGAGCTCTAGTATTTCCAGAAAAGATTCTGTTAAACAAAGAGAAATGAAGAGAATTTTATAATGTCAATCGGATTACATTAACAGTTTTACTTACCATGAACTTGCATTTCCTTTAAGCTCTAGTATTTCCAGAAATGATTGTATATCAAAGAGTAAATAAATTCATCATTCAAAAGAAATTGATAATGTCAATCGGATTATATTATTACAACAGTTTCACATACTATGAAAACTTGTATTTTCTTTGAGCTCAGTATTTCCATAAATGATTGTTTTTATCAAAGATGAAATGAATTCGCATACTCTGCAAAAGGCATCAATAATGTCAATCGTATTATATTATTTATAACATTATTCACTGACCATAAAAATTTGCATTTCCTTTCGTTGTTGGAGCTGATAAGCATTATGTAAATTAAATCAGAATAATAATCTCAAAATGTTACTTTGCTTTAATAGAAACCTATATAATCTAATTAAATTTGGCTACCTAGCGGAGAGTATGACTTATTCCCAGAATTTTCCTTTATAGGTAGAGGCTAATTTGCATAATATTTAAATTGAATGTATAATATGGAAATATATAATGTAGCTATGACTATCACGGACCTTGTTATTGTGATGGCAATGATTTCGATAATTATCATGATAGCGATAGTAGTTTTGATAAAGAGTTTAATAGAGGCTTATATCATTTTATATGATTATGATTCTGATAAAGTATCATTAAAATGCAGGAACTATAAAGTGATGACTGATGAGTTTTGAAGTAGAGATTAGAGATTAGAACAGTTGGCAAAGGAATCAGTTTTTGGACTAAAGTGTTTATTCTAGTGGTCTCCCCTTGAAAGTCCCTACCACAAACCTGCAGAAATTTACATTTTCTTCCAGTAAATTCCAAAAAGGAGAAGATCAGTGAAAACCTGGCATCCCTTTAAGGGCTCATCTTGTCGCAACATTACACCGAATTAAATCAAGCGTGCCCGTTTCCGTCTTGAAATGACGTTACTTTAATAAATCATATTTGGCATTAATGAGATATCCATGCCGAACCCAGACGACATAATATCGTATCGCTCATCTACCTGATTGATATTCATGATTTCGCGCGCTAATGATTAGCATAAAATTTCACAACACACACATTTTTGACACGGCATCTCCGTATTTAGATAAAGTATCCGAAATAGCGTTTCCATTTGCGGTTTGAATGAATGAATCTGGTAATGAATCACAATCCCTTCGGGGTTTTTGAAGCTTCACAATTGACTGACGGATGCTATTAAAGGTATATTTAGAGAGCTGTAAAGTTCAACTACAATTTTGCCTCTTACATTCGAGCAGTTTATAAATCCATTGACTTATCTTCTATTTTGTAGGCATTTTGTATAAGGAGTCTTCAAGGTCCAACCATACTTATGCTCCTATCACTGTTTTTATTTTAGCTGTCAACAATTGAGTGTCAAATACAGTTCATGAGATATCGGAAGTTTCGAAATCCATTGGCTTATCGACCATTATATAGGCTCATTAGACAAGTCAGAATTCTCTTTGAAAAGGGAGACAAATTTATAGAAATCTTGTTGGTCAAAGCTTTGAGGTGCTCTTTTCAAGGTGACTTACGCTACCTGGTTCTTAATCCATGGACCCAACGGATGCTTAATCTGATGTAGGCCTATATGTGGTAATGCAGATTAGTAATAGGGCCTCTTAGCGGTCCAGTTCGAGGTACATGTAATTTAGAATCTTCGGACTTCTTTGGCATGATTGGAATATATTGCAATGAAATATAGCCCGTTATAGTTTTAACTGAAAAAATCTGCTCTTATCAAGTAGCACAAGGAGCCCATAAATACAGCCGGCTTACAATTTGAGGTACTTTATCTATTTTGTCGGACATTTGGTCCTCGTAAAGCCTTCAAGTTCAATTAAGTTTCATGCATAATCTTGATAAATAGAGCCCGTGGTTTCAACTTGAACTTCTGCTCTTTTATTCAAGTAGCCCAAGAAGTACCTGATGGGCTTATAATTTTAGGCACTGCATTTCAACGAGTACATGATACTTCTGAATCTTAATTTAAATTACTATTTGATTTACTTACTTACTTCTTACAAATCAATCGACTTACTACCACTGGTCCGATTTTGCCAGCTCTATATATTTTACCTAACATGAGCTGTCGTCAGTATTACAGTAATTTTATTAGTTGATTATAATAATGTTTTTATATTCAAGCAGTCCACAATATTTCTGAAGCTTCACAATCAGTTTGTTTTATTAAAGACTGCCAGTTCCTGCATTTAATTAGGATTAGCAAACTTCACTTTAATGAGCTGTCATCATTATAGCAGTATTGGGGTAGTTTGTAAGGTTAAGGAGGATATTGGTAAGGTCAAATTGTGTTCGTGATATATTACAGTGTATAGGGAAGTGGTAAAGAAGATTATGTAAACGGACCTTTCCGGAGAAGAGTGATAAATCCACAATCTACAATCACGGAGGGTTGTTGAACAGATAGGAAACACGGCAATGCCAGCGGCGAAGGTGAATGTTCAAACATGGCATGCTTTGCACCTGTATGATAAGAGTGACGGTCTTCTCTTTTTATGAGTCATATTAAAAGTACTACGTCCCATTTGCAGGTCAAAAAAATGAAAAGGTATATTCCAACGGCATTTGAAAGACGATACTAATTTAGAACTTCTCTCAAAACGAAAGGGTTTGAAAATGACTTTTTGTGGGAAAAATAACGACCATTAGTTGTCAATGTTATTAAAGAGGCCTTTTCTTTTTGAAGTAAAGATCGACGCTCAAAATAGTGGAATCCATTCTCAAAGGCGTAATTCAGACCACTATACTTTGGAGTTTATTCCACGAAATTTTGGTGTGGATTCAACTCCAAAATAAAGTGATTTCATTATACGCCTCCTAAAGGAGTGGATTTACACTCAAGGCATTAGGCTCGAGTATATTTTATCATTAT